CTACAACAATGATAGGAGCTGCCATGACAGGCTGCCGTTGTCGCCCGCGCCATATATTCAGACTTTCATTCTATATATTTATTCAATATTCCTATTCCAATTCCTAAAGGGCATGCCATAATGTTGACATGAAACAGGAGGAGACAGGAATTGAACCGCCAACCAACTCTTGTGGACAACCTTCCAAGCTTTAGCTGCCCCATGTGAATTAATTATGGCCTGAATGACTCTTGATATACTCAAGTGACTAACTCATGGTTAAACTGTGCAGTTGATGCACAGAGGACAATACTACAGTAACACATACAGAGTCATTATAACACATTGCTACAGAATTGTGGATGAAAATAAATCACAGTGTGAGTTGTGTTCCAAGGTAGCAGAGCTCTATTGGTACTTCTATTGAGCTCAGTTCCAAACAGTGGACTTGCTCATCAATTCTACTAGAAAATGTTGCCTTATTTAGCAACAAAGCTGCAGGGTGGAAATGGGTTCATATATGCTGAATTTGGAATAGTGTGGACACTGAGACTTTTTGTCCCCCTACTTTCAGGTGTTATGGTAACCTCTTCCACTGTCTTTCCGATGATTTTGTTGGCTCTGTTTTTAAGGTATAGTGAAGATACTGATACCAGATGAAACTAGATGCAACCATTACCAACTATATCATACTGGCATGGGTATTTTCAAAGGGGTTCCTTGACCTCTGACCTCAAGATATCTGAATACAAATAGGTTCTATAGGTACCATTGAGTCTCCCCACACCCACTTTCTGCTAATCCCATGCAGTTCTAGGCAAATACCATGCAGTTTTTGTTTTTCGCCTAGTGTATTTCTGCTTAGTGGGGTCCATAAACAGTATTGGGATTGCATAAATTGGGTAAGACTGGGAAGTAGAGACACTTGTTGATTCAATGAGCCCAACTGTATTCATGAGTGATGATGTTCCCATATGTAACCATTTCAATGTAGTGAGACCATTTTTGGGACTTGACCTCACTGTATAAAATGAGGTACAAGAACAAACTAGAGGCCAAGGGCATCCAGAGGATGGATGGGATGGATATATTACCCACTGATTTCTTACCATAGTTTAGTTGCACAAAACCTGTAGGCTAGGCTGAGATTGAAAAGAAGTTGACATGAAAAAAATCCACCAAAGTATTAACATCATACAAAGCTAAATGCCACCCCCACTTTGAAACTCATTCTGGCACCATTGGGTTGAACACAAGCACATAGCTTGACGCACGGCAACATGGATTCGCCAAGGTTGGCGGTTTAATCCCCAGCCCCTCCCGTTGCATGTGAAAGTGTTCTTGAGCAAGATACTGAACCCAAATTGCCTCAGATGCTGTGTATTGATATGACTGAATTAGTTTTTCTTTATGATGAATCTTTGCTGTATGAATCTATGTGAATGGGCGGACATGTAGTGTACAGCTCTTTCTGTTTCATATTTTTAGTGTATACAAAAGTAGCAAAGGCACTTACATGGTATGTTGGCATCAGCATTAAACATGTTTGCTTACAGCTTTAGATTTAAGATCGTTTTTTGGAACAAACAACGGTTACAGAAATAACATACAGTGTTTGATACTTCATATAGTCTATCATAAAATAAATTATTGTTTTTTTTTTTTTAACAAAAAAAGCTTCTTTTTGGAATTTTGGTTTTTTTGTTGGTTGAAAGACTAGAAAGGCTATAATACAAGTTGTATACAACCATTTTTTCCTGTGATCTCACGGAGTCTTTCTCTCAAGGGCCCCGGCCTTATTATGTCTTACAGTAGTTACTTAAAATTGCCGCTGTACATTAATTATTGAGATATATGCCTACAACTATACAAATTTAATAATTAAGATTATACTTATATATCTTGCTATAGTCCCGTTTATATTATATATATATATAATATTATATTTTTACTACATACACTAAGTTCATTTAAAGAGTTGGGCTGTGAAAAGGTCATTGGTTTTACTCAAAAGTGTATGTGTGTATTATGTCAACTTTTAGGTCAGTGGTGCGGATCACAAGACACTGGCTTGGGCTACTGGCCACCATGTCCATCACTTAAGGAGCCCTCTATCGCGCTTGGTGTGTCAGGTAACACAAACCACAAAGAATAAAAGCTTGGAGGAAGATGGTTTTAGCATTTGGGGTAAAATCCCACACTGGATATTCTTAATTGGATTGATAACTGTTATCTATTTCATACTATCGGCTATCAACTAATCAAAAACAACTTGTTTTACATAATGTGTTGATCTGTAGTGTGTTTTTTTATTAACATATATTTAAAATTTTTATAATCTTTAATCCTAGGTTCTATATGGAAATTACAATGATATTTCCAAATAAACAGATCACAATTAATTTTATCTGATTACATATCTTTACATATTTTTCTGTGAACCCCCTTATTATTTACATTCTTTATCTATCTCAACTCTTAATCATCTCCTAATAACTTTTATTTTACGTTCTAATAAATTAGTGGTCAAAATATCACTGTACTTTTCCAATCTCATTCTCATTTCTATCTTATTATTTTTATTATATTATTAATTTATAATCTTATAACTACCTCTTTTTATACTTATATAGATCAGTTGATAATAGTTTGTTATTATTTAATTTCCCATTCCAGTTTTAACCATCTAGCATGTGTCTATCCTTGAGAGAGCTGGTCCCACCATATGGCCTAGTGTCAATTTGAACTACTTACCTTCCT